TTAAATAATCGATTATTTGAAAATAATCGATTATTTAAAATAAACGATAATTTTTTGTAAACACTGATTTATCGGTTAATTGGCTTTTTAATTAATCGATTATTTTTCAAAGATAATCAAGTAGTCTATTTTAAAGGAAATACGACAAACAAATAGATTGAAAACAATGGATTGATCGAAAATAATCGATTATTTTCAATGATCGATTATTTATTTCGACAATCACTCATCCTCTATATTAATTAATATTCCTAAAGAAAGAAACTGAGGTTACAATACAAAACAGCATTTTCTCATTTTGACTAATTTTTAATATTATGTAATAGCCGTAGAAAAAATATAATGTTTGACTCAAAAGGTTTGATTTGCAGTATTCGCCTGCGCACATGCTTTTTTATAATACTCGTAGACAATGAGTACCATTTCTTGGTCTATTAACAATATTCTATTTCTGAAAAGTCCATAGTAAATAAACGCTAACGAAATATTCTATAAAAGGTCTTCTTTTTACATAAAATGTCGTGCATCTGTTTGATAATCACGTTAATTTTATTTCATAATACAAAATTCCATTAAACATATATTTTAAATAAATCTATAGTTCATTATGATGCTAATAAATAAAGTCCGGTCCTTGTCACAGAGTTCGGGTCTCTGCACAGTTCCCCCACTCCGTTAACCTTTCTTTAGAAATTGGCAACATTTGCGCAGGTTAAACACCGGTGTATGTTATATCTCTGGTCTCTTTTATCTAAGTATCTACCCAATAAGTAGTATTAGTTTACCTTCCAATCTTACAAAAAATGACTTTTACAAACATTATAACAGATAATTAGGTGTTTTGTACAAAATTAAAATACTGAAAATGCAATAATATATTTCCTATAAAGGCTTTGTACGAATATTTAAAAAGCATAGCAATTTTTCTTGACCACGCCAAAGCTTTTGATATACGGTATCTCATAAAATTTGACTGATCAAATTAAGCATATATGGTGTTCGATTACCTTTTATTTATTATCAAATTATTTAACAAACAAAATACAAATGATAAAGTTAAGTAAGGTAAGTGCTATAAAATAAGTAAAAGCTGATGTTCCTCAAGGAACCGTCCGAAACCCAGTACATAAATAATATAATTGAATAATAACTCTATTAGACATTTAATTTATTATGCCGATGTGTACGTCCTACTTATAGCTGGTATTTATTGGAATGATATACAAAAATCTACTTAGTCTAACGTACACAGAGGTGTTTCAGAAAGTTGGATCCATATTGGATTTTTGTTTAACATTACCATTGGAAAAATGCGTTATAAGACATTTAACTCTGCTTTTTTAAAAGCTTAAAACAGTCCATATTAAAGTTGGCCAAATTCAGTATTTTTTTAAAAGTCGTTTAAATTTTTTTTAAATTCCAATTGGACGGAAATTGACTATTAGTAATCAACTTTGATAAGGGCTATTTTAAGTTTTTAAATAAGCAGAGGCGATTGCCCTACGAAGTTTTTTCAAATCGTAATAATAAAAAAATTCCATATGGATCCAACTTTATGGAACATAGTGTATAAGTTACGATTATAGTTACATTATAATAATCTAACCCTTAAAGTAGATACAATAAAGTTTGTAATTTAAGCTGGATTAGTTAAACTACATAATATAAATAAAAATAGATTTTTAGTTAGCTAACACGGCTTCCAAATAAAAAAATCTTCCTGACAATGTTTATAGAAAAATAATAAAAAAGTGTTATAATAACCGTTGATCGAAAAATCTACAAGCGCCTAACAAGACCTATAACAAATACTTTTTAGTATGTTATAAGACTAATATAAAGATTTAATAATACTTTTACAAGTAACCGTGCTTATACCAGGCTCTTGCACGTTGTATGTATACTGCCCTATTAAGTATAAGAGTCGTACCTGCATTTTCAAAAGTTACAAGAAAATCAGGAAAAAGTGTTAATCTTTTTGCCATCGTAAGTATTATTATTCTGGAACTCAAAGTTAACAGGTTGTATAATATTTTTTTCATAGAATTTGAATCATAGACTTGTTGTTTTGCATATTTGGAGCTTAATAATATTTTTGTTAGTTACGACAAATTTGTTAACAATGAGCAACTAAAATATTAACATGATTAGTCGTAAGTGACCATCTAATATATAGAAAAACTACGACACTTCGAGTTAAATGTTTATTATAGCATCAGTGTTTTGAAATAGGGGTCTTTGAAATGAGATATGTTTAATTCCCAGGAGTCCAAAAACTAATAAACTACTTGAATGAGTAAAACCAAATTTGGTAGATTTTCACAAAACTTTTATTTTAAAAAATAAAAAATTAAAATTAAAAACACTACACATGACATGTTTCGAAGTACTTCTTTTTCAAATGTGACTATTTTACATATTTCATAAGCCATCACATACTGATATTACAATAAATAATAGTTCATCTCATCCATACAAACAAAAGCTGGCAGCATGCAACAGTATGATCCATAGATTAGTTAGTATCCCCCTTACCAAAGAGAACTTCACAAAAGAATTAAATATCATTAAACAAATCGCAGTAAACAATAATTTTAATTCAAAGTTAGTAGACAACATTTTAGAGAAAAAACTTTTTAAACATGCTATTCAACAAGTTTATCCCATAATTAAAGATCAAAATTGCAGATATAAGAGTCTTACATATATAGGAGCTCCTAGTGAAAAGGTATCATCATATTTAAAAAACCAAAATATTAACGTAGCTTTTAAAACCAATAATACGCTTGAGAAGTATATTAAAAACAATAAGGAAAAATTAATCCTAATAATAAATCAAGGGTATATAAATTAAATTGTGGTAGTTGTCCAAAACTGTATATTGGTCAAACAGGCCGTACTTTCAAAAAGCGCTATTCCGAACATTATCATAGCTATACAAAAAACAAAAATAATTCTACTTACTCGAATCATATTTTAGCTGAAAATCATTCTTTTACAGACAACTTTGAAATTTTACATATAGAAAATAAGGGCAACAAACTAAACCATTTAGAAACACTTGAAATAAATTAAATAGTTAGTTTATTTTGTTATGTTATTGATGTTTTCTTAAGTACTTTGTTTTGTTAAATTATTTGGCATATATATTGGATACCGAATTGTAAATTAGTCACATTCGAAAAAGAAGTTGTACTTCGAAACATGTCATGTGTAGTGTTTTTAATTTTTATTTTTTAAAATAAAAGTTTTGTGAAAATTTACCAAATTTGGTTTTACTCATTCAAGATAAAATGGATTTTCATCAAGTAAAGGCTGAAACAATAAATAATATAATAATAAACTACTCTGTGTAACTTAAACAACATTTTCGGTATTTAACTAAAACAACACTTCTAATTGTAACTAAAACCAAATAAATTCACAGCAATATTATGTCAACTGAGATTATTATTAATTTACTTGTCTTTTTGTATAGAATTTTCGGAAAGAGCAAATTATTCCAAAAATTTATTCTAGTAATGGGAATAATTCCACATAGTCGGTTTATGAGAGTGTCTCTTCTAGCTTGACTTGATAGACAATCTTGCATTTAGGCTTTTCCAAACTATTCTTTTGGTGTTTTGCTACTTAAAAATTTAATATTGTTGCCTCATGTTGATCAAATTTGTATTTGTAGGATATAATGACTGCTTATCCATTATCAAAATTAACCTGCAGCATATCACTTAAATAAGGCCGAGAATTTATTCTGCTTAATTTATATTAAGAACTCTTGTCTTCCTAATTAAAAAAATTGTTCATTTTCATTTCAATCAATTTCACTTTCGACGAGTTCGCTTTTCGAACGGCATCTTTGTAATCTCCGAAATCATACTTTTTTCATTTGCTTCAAGGACTTCTCTAACTGGTGATGGAAAGAATCGGCTGACATGAACGTATGCCCCGGTTCAAAATTAAAGAGTTTAAAGCGACGTTAGCAGAATTTACTAGATATACGCAGAAACTAAAGAAGGCCCAGTTTTTATTTTGGGCTGCACAGTTGTCCAACCACAAAATAACATGTTCAGTATCTCTATTATCCAGAAAAAAGCCAGAAAGCACTAATGATATCTTCTTTGGATCGTCCTGACAAGGCTTCATGCCAAATTACTGCCGTGGGAAATTTATTGAGTTTTTTCCTATTGGAACAATACTTTCATTGAATGCAATGATACGAGGTACGAAGATCACCTCCTTAAAAATTTCGCACTTCGAAGGCATAGTGACCTTAAAAAAAACTAGCAGGAAAAAAATATAAAATAAATATATCTTATCTTCTGAAGATCTGCTGAACATGCCAGTACGATGGGATTATCAGCTTCAGCGTCAATTTGATATTGTTGTCGAGCCGACTTCGCCATTCCAATATATTTATTTCATGATTTACAGTCGGCGCAGTCATTTTTCAACTTCTTGGAGTCGTGATTGGTGCTGCTTTTATGATTTTTGAATGCTGCACAGGTGAAGCACTCTTTGTGTTCAAGTGCAACAAATAAAATATTCATTTTACTCACGACATCTCTATATAAATAATAGGAAAATTTAATAGTTATATATTTTGCCTTAAATTCATTGTACATAATTACTATGGTAACATCACTAGGAAGGTATCTCATATTAGGATCGTGCTCTCTCCTGTAATGAGTAATTGGCGGTTTAAAAGACTATATGCTGTCTGATTATGGCACGATCTATATTTTTCGATGAACTAGCGCTATCTCGTCGAGATTTTTCTCTCTCTAACTCTTTCGATCATTGTAAGGCAAATATCCAAGAGTTGCTAAGAAAAATATTTTGCATACTTCCTGTATTGTACCACTATCATCTTTGAGCCTTTAGGTAAAACTCGTTGACCTTCCAGAATCTAAAGATACCTTTCCCTTTGCATTTTTTCCTTTCTGTCATATTTAACACAAAAGTTTTTTGCTCTAAATCCGTTAATTGCCAGAACTTCAAATTTATATTTGCACCTTCTTCTGAATTTTTTTTTGGTACAACATTTCTTGCACTTGTCTCCGTTTTCGGAGCTGTCCTGCTTTTGTATATAAACTGGCTTCTCGATTTTCATATTGCTCAATTGCAGCATCAATTACATTATCGACAATTTCGGTAACCAAACCAATAACATTATTGTTATTATTTGAATCTGAAGTTATAGCGTTTCTAGAACGAATAACAACATTTTGATGGATAATAATCGAAGGAAGTTCAGGTTTCACTTCTTCTTCTACTGCTTCTGAACTTGATGCGTCAGACGATGATGGAATATCAAAATCTGGATTATCTTTTTCATAATTTTTTGTTAAGCGTGTTTGAGCATTTTTTTTTCTAAATTCGTCTAATTTAGTGGCCAGCTCTTTGTTTTTCCTTGCCTCTGCTTGCAACAATCGCATAGATTTACTATTATTACCAACCATTATTTAAAAAATAGGCTGTATGTTAATAAAAGGCTTCGCCGGCTATACACTGATGTGTTAATGTGATCAAATGTAGACAACTAACTTACTTTCTTTTTAAGTCATATAAAGTAGCTATCACTTCAACAATAAGTTTAAGACCGCAGTTCACTTATTTTGTAAAGAAACATACAAAACTATCTGAAGAGAAGTAAATAAATGCTTTTTTGAAGTAATGTACAAGATCTAAGCGTCAAAATACTCAAACTGTCAGAATGCGCGCCAAATTCGTTGTTAGAACGATTTGTCGTATCTACTTCATTGTTAAGTAAATACATCGTATTTGAATTACAAATATGACATAAACAGTTTGGGCAATTATATTTAACAAATTGATGATAATTTTACATACGACAAAGAAATAATATAATTTTTTGATCGGCGATGAAAGTTATACGACATTTTGAACTAATAAGTAGACGTAAAATTTTGAACTGATGTGAAAAATTTTAATAAGTAAATGTATTTTTATAAAAGAATCTATGGTAGATGCGCCTGTGGTACTTGCGGCCACTATCTAAAATTGTGGCATTTGCGCCCTATCCTACTTTTGGAGCTTACCTGCTTTTTAAGAAGGGTCAAGTTAGTGGCAGTTGCGCCCTGTTTTTATTTGCAGGTATTTAGGTAGTAGGTAAACTTAAAATACTTGCGATACATTTTTAGTATTCTAAATTTTATTATTTTTACTATGGTGAATCACTGGAAGATGGGCTATAACTACCCCAAAAAAGTTTCTTGTTATGAATTTCTTTTATTTTCTTGTATCTCTGATTAAGAGTTGTTAGCAGCCGTATCTTCGAATATCTTGAAAAATAATTAAAAAAAAAAACACAAAAACTGGGCGATTTTTATTGCAAGGGGGACACCTTTCCATCATATTCTTAATTTTCATATGATATTCTTCTCCACTCCGTTACTCTAACTAATATAATTTAGATAGGGAAAGTACCAAGTATGACGCATCATCGAAAAGATTATTTAAAGAGGATTTGCGAATTCAGCAATACCTATTACTGTCAGGGGCGGCTCGTGACCAAAATTTTAGGAGTTCACAGTAGAATATAGATCTCGGTACAGATGTAGGTAAAAAACTATCATTGTTTTAGAAAGGTATGTTGTAAACTTTTTAAAACACCGAAAGTTTTTTTCATATATCTGTACTAATATTTATATTCTGTCACTGTGAACCCCCAAAATTTTGGTCTCAAGCCGCCACTGATTACTGTGCATTGGACTACTTTTAAGTTTAGCGCCAGTTACGTATTTTAAAGTGTGAAATTTAATTAACAAGATTATTTGATTAGTAATTCAATGCACTATATTATATTATGTTAACTAAATCAAAGATGAACTTAAAAAGAAAAAAATATTGCACGGTTACTAACTTTATTTTGTTGCAAGTGTAATATGAAGATATTTAGTTTAATTTTATGTGGTGCATTGTTATTACTTAAAAAATTAGCTTTCAAATGAAGTGTCACACATTACAAGACGTAACAATTTTTTATCATGCTATCGGGAGCTAAAATTAAAAGTAGCGCAAAATAACCTCTTCGTTAATGTGTTATACCTGATACTTTCCCTATTTAAATTGTATCGGTTATAGTGAAGTAGGGGATAAGAATGACATATTATAATTGAGGTGTCTCACTTGAAATATTTTTTTTTTCATTCTTCTTCAAGATATTTTGAGATACGGCCGCTTAAAAGCTTTCAACCAGAAACTATGACTTGAAGATGAGCTATAACTAGCCCGATACAAAATGAGGGGATAAAAGTAATAGAGGAGAACAAAAACAATTCGAATTTTCCACTTTTTCTCAAAATTTCTCGAATACTGACCATTTTAGGAAAATTATGTCAAGCACAGAAATTATAGAGAATGATGTCACTAATAACTTTTCTAAAAGTACAATAATTGAGATGGAAAAAAAAATATTGTACAGCCTAAATTAAGATGAAAATAATCTATAAGGTTTTTCAAAAAACTAGTTATCCAACTTTCATTTTATTATTTTATCCGGCATAATTTTTTTCTAATTAATTAGAAAAATAATTAATATAGGGATAGGTTGCGTTGTACCTGACATAATATTAAATAAATAAGTAGTTAACTGCTTTATTAAATGTATATTTTAATGTACATACCTGATTTTGAAATGACAATATTTTCCGAAGTTGTCATTAAGGAACCACATTGTGCACTTTTTTCTTTTATGCATAACCACGTACGTTTAACTTTGTTTTCTTTTTTAGTGTATATTGATAGCCATTATAAAGAACCAAAGGTTTATTTTTGGAAGTAACTGTAACTTCAGCTACATCAGTCATGACACAGAAATAACAAAAATCCTCGTAAAAATTTAATATAAATTTTAATAAACGTGTAAGTACCTTAGTGTTCGATTTTATAATAAATTATGAACAAATGGGGAACTCTTATATCTATTTAAAAACAGTGCCTATACACCAACACCTATTTAATGAGATTAAGTGTAAAACACTCGTAAATTCTTTTAAATAAAATCCAGGAAACAACTATTGTACTATATGTTTAATAAAATTAACAGTAAAACTCTGCAAATAAAATCCAGCAAACAACTATTGTAATACCTGTTAAATGAGATTAAGAGTAAAAACCCTAAAATATTTTATAAAGATATAATAGTAATAGGTATAATGTATTTAAACACATTTTAGTTATCATTATTTAATATTTTAAGTTTACTTACCTGCTTGATCTTGTTCTTTTATTTATTCTACCTACTTGGATACAAATAGGGCGCAAGTGCCACTCTCTTGACCGTTCTTAAAAAATAGGTATGCTCGAAAAAGATACCCGAGCGCAAGTGCCACACTTTTTCGTGAAAAGCGCAAATGCCACGGGCGCATCTACCACAAACCCCTTACAAATCACAGGGTGTTTCCTAAATTCATGCGACAAAATTCAGAAGGTGATTGCTCGTATGAAATTAAGGTGGGTCATTCCTATAACAAAATTTCCTCAGCTCACCCCCTTTCCGAGATATCACCCTTAAAAGTGGTGACTAAAATTGAGTTTTTATTGTTTTTCTAAAATTTCAGTAAAGCAAGGAACTTGAAACTTTGTAATTTTCGTGCACTTGCAAAGAACTAACCACTGGTAGTTTTTTAATATTCCTGTTACATTATAGGGGGGTGAAATTAGCAACCCTTACTTTATTTCATATCAAAACTTTTTTTGAGATGAAATAAAATTAATTTTACCCCCCTATAATGTAACAGGAATATTGAAACAATAGCCGTGGTTAGTCCTTTGCGAGTGCATGAAAATTACAGAATTTCAAGTTTCTAGCTTTACTAATATTTTAGAAAAAAATAAAAACTGACTTTTAGTCACTATCTTTTAAGGGTGATATCTCGAAAAGGGGTGGGCTGAGGAAATTTTGTTATAGGAAAGATCCATCCTAATTTCATACGAGCAATCACCTCCTGAATTTTGTCCCGTGAATTTTGAAACACCCTGTATATTTTATAGTAATTCTAACAACAATAATTATAAAATATATTATGTTAGTTGGTAACTATTTGGAATTTTTCTATTAGCAGCTTATAAACGCAAATAAAAAATAATAATAATATTTTAATACCGATTTGCTTCTAAATGACTAATTTAATGAAGTTTTTCTTAAAAAACTATTTATAGACCTCTGTTAATTGTTTTTACGAACAAATTATTAAAAATTTTAATGATCTTTTATTTTTTCTTTAATATTTTTTTATTTTTTTTGTTTTTCTTTCATTTTTTTTTTATTATGTTTTTAGTTAAAAAGTAATTCTGAGGTGTTGCCGGTAAAAAACTTTGACTTAGTCATTTAATTCACAATTTGGGCGGTATTTCTAGCATAAAGTTTGCTTAACTTTATAACAACTTTCTAAGGAGAATTTATTTTTCCGTAAATCCCGTGTCAACAAACTCGAATTGAACGTGAGGAAATTCGGTTATTAATGACTGCCATTGACTATACATTAACAGCATCGGATCCAGGAGAATAAAATTTTCGTATTTTTAACTCTGCCAAACTTAAACATTGTCAGATCAGTTTATAAATGTGTAAATGTGTATCGGCACATGAAATGGACGTTCAGTTTCGAAATAACTCCGTCCCGACGCCGACGCTACACGTTCAACATCTCGACGCCTCGACGCGGATTACCCGCGAAAAAATCATCGTGAAAATGTGCTTGTAAGTGACTAAAATTTTCCAGTGGATTACCGTTTTGTAGCTAAGGTGATTTAGTGTCCGTTGATTGTTAAAAAATTTGGTAAGTAATTATTTTTCTTTAATTAAATTTTAAACTTTCAAGATATGTGGGTTATGGGTTTAGTGGGTTTTCCACATAGACAGAATTATATGAAATTTTAATTTGCTCTTAAGGGAATCAAAGTAAGCAATTGGTTCCATTGCGACATCCTTGTAACTGTATAGGGTAAACTAATTAATTAAATTGTTACGAATTCAAATTTTAAATTGAAAGTGATACCAAAAATTCAGTTCAAATTCAAATAAATTAAATTATTAAAAATAATTTTAAACTGAATCAGCTGCTTTAAAAACAAAATAGTTCTTTAAAGATTCATTTATCTACTAAACAACCTTGTAACTATACAGTGTAATACTGAAAATTTAAGCTTAAATCCATATTAGCAGAAGAATTAAATTATTGTTAAAAACATACCACATTTTAAACTAAATTACCTAGTTTGCAGCTTGATAATTTGAAGACAACACATATTATACTAAGAACTAGCGACCGCCAGACCTACATCATAGTATGAAGGTTAAGATTTTTGTTTAATTGAACCAACCTTGTAACTATACAAGGCGATACCGAAAATTCCGTTCATATAATAAATTAAATTATTAAAAATAATTTTATACTGAATTCAATACTTTAAAAGTAAAACATTTCTCAAATGAATCATTTTTCCACTAACCAGCCTTGTAGATACCCAAGTAACATTTTTAGATTTATCAAATATACAAGATAACCATAAAACTCTTTTTTAAGACACTGATAAAACTTTTGAATGCGCAAGATAGCCTTAGGACTGCTATAAATCTGCTTTAAGAGTAAAAGGTTCTTAGAAGTATTTATAAAACAATATCTTAAAACTAATTAGACCTAACTCAAAGTCGGTAAGAGTATAATATTAAGAATTTAATTAAACTATTTTTAAATATTTTTTAAGATTATGATAATAAGTGCGACATGCATAAAAACTTTACAAAACAGTTTTAAGAGAATTCAATTTTAAAATGTTTTACCTTTATTCTGTCAAAATGATTTTGCAATCATGTTGGGAAAACTGCCATATTAGAAATTAATTTTTTTATGGTGTAGGTTTAATTTGTTTGGTTACACTTGCTATTTCTTCAATTTTCAAACACACATCAAAGTACTGTTAAAAATAATAAATTATGGGCCTTACAAAATATGAAATATATGTAAAAAAAGGATTAATATACGGATTCTAATCTATTTACCGAAAGTTACTTAATAGAAAATATCATTGTAAATATCATATATGATTAAAGGACCCCGCACTTTTTACATTGATTTTGGGTACTGACAGAATTTGTTAAAATTATAGTATGTTATTTTTCAGGTCATAATGGGCAACTTTCTTATGGACATAAAGTTTGCAGCTCTACAGGGTGAGCTGTCAGAAGGAGTCAAAAGTAAGGAGTACAGAATTAATATTTTCATATATATCTTTACCACTCTTAAATAATTCATGTTTATTACATGAAACTTATGACATGAGTTACACCTGTATATGGTCTGTTAATGCTTACTTTCACTTTGTAAAATAAATCATACAGAGTGTTCAAAAAATAGGAATATTAATTACTGAAAAAAGGTGCATTTTCATGTATTACCATAATTATAACATGAGTTCTGATCACTTATTTATTATATTAAATACTAGATAATATTAATTAATAATACAGGGTGTAACAAATACAAATAATATTTATTACAAAAATATTACATTTTCTTCATATAGATTTTTAGACTTCCACTTAATTATAAATCCATATAAAAGAAACTACATTTTTAAAAACCTGTTTTATTAAATACATTAACTATTTACACACCTTCAAAATGTGATTCATCTTTCAACAGCATCTAAAATAGTCCTTAATAAAACACTTAAAGGGTACTTTATATAATTTTGGAATCGTTAATATTTCGGGTACCACAAAACACTTGAAATATGAGCACACATGCATTTAGTTCTTGAATCAGGCTTACATGTACGGTAATGTCTAGTAATGTTATTCTCTTGAATTTTATTTTATAAAGTGTGCTTCACATTATACTGAAATCTGAAATATATGCGCAGGACTTCAGGACGTGATATCTCGTCCAAAAATATGAAAAAACGTTTCTATTAACTTACCCTCTAAAATGCACCATTTTCGAGATACAGGGTGTTGAAATTAAAAAAAAATATTCTACGCCACTGGAAAAAGTACGGTTTTGAGACGCCCATTTGAACCGCCAATGTTTTCTACACAAAAAAGGTACTCCTGGTTATAAGCTCTAAAGTCGACCGTTTTCGAGAAAAATCAAATTTTGTTTCATCAAGTATGTATGACCATGTATTTCAACATTAAAATCTGATATGGATAAACAAACGCAACAAATGTGGTTTAAAATTGCAAAGACAAAAAGTTTTATAATCCTATCATGATAATTTAGCTGTTATTTCATCTAACAGTCGCCAATATTTTATTTTATAGAATCCTTTTGTAATTATTCTGATTAATAAAAAAAGAAATAAAAAGTTATGTTATAATAACTAGGCTTAACAAATAATTTAAAGCAAGATAAAAGTATATAGTGGTGTGGAATAGATAAATAATAAGAATTGGCCAGGATTAAATATCATGAGTATTCATATTACGAAGTTTTTAAATAAATTACTACTGAAAAAACTGTAAAAGTTTTTTTATGAATTAGTTTAACTAAAATTAACCTACTAAATACTCAAAAATTATATTTAGAAGTGATGTATATAAAAATCAGAAAGGGCTTTTCAATTAGAATATGTCTTCTTAGTCATTCATTCAAGCCAAAGTTAGTAGAATTATTTCTACATTTAAGTAGGCGTAGAACGGGACTTTGTTAGATAAGCAGAGCTATGATTATAATACGAGCATAACTGAATTCGTTTCAAGACTTTCTGCAATATTTAAGGCATACCAATTTTTCGTAAAATGCGTTTGTGTAGTTCTATCAAACCCTGTATTACTTATAAAAATTACCTAATATGAAATGAAATAAAAAAATGGTCAGAAGTCATATTCTAACTATGGAAATACATGTAAAATGCCACTATATTTCAGTAACTGATATTCCTAATTTTTTGAACACGCTATATAATTTATTTTGCAAAGTGTGAGTAAGCACGAATAAACTATATACAAGTATAACATATGACATAAGTTTCATGGAAAAAATAAGAATTACTAAAGAGTGGTGGAGATATATTTGAAAATATTAATTCTACATTCCTTACTTTTGAATCCTTCTAACGGCTCACCCTGTAGAGCTGCCTACTTGGGGTCCATAAGAAAGTTGCCCTTAATGACCAGAAAAATAACATATTAAAATTTGAACAAATTCTGCCAGTACCCAAAATCAATGTAAAAAGTGCGGGTCCTTTGTCTTCGCAATGTTTTTGATATAAAATATCACATTTCATTATTTCTCAATTTATTTCATGGAAGTGACTATTTAACCGCCAATATAAATCCTATTATAGATTTGTCTGTGCATGGATACTTGTCATCGTCCGAACACCATTTTCAATTGCGCATACTACCTACTGGACTACCAGACACAAACTTTATGTTTTTTCATAAATTACATTGGGCAAGGCAAGAGTTGTATATTATATTACAGCATGTTCGCATATAAATTATATTTATACAGGGTGTTAAAAAAAAGTGTCACAAAATAAAACGGGGGGTAGTTTGGGCCAAAATATGCAGAAAAGTCTTAATAAACATATGTCCGCAAATGAATGGTTTCAGTGATACGGAGTGTTTTGTGTTTTGTATCATTTTTTGATTACCTTTTTTCATTCTCACAAACTTGCTTTTCTTATCGGAGTCTACCGATGTTTTTTCATAGATACTATTTGCAGTTATTATTTTGTTGTGGGTGAATAATTTTATAAATTTTCGTTATGCCTGTTTACACTAATATTGAATTAGCTGACATGCATTTTATGTACGGTCGTGCAAATGGCAATGCGAGGGAAGCGCTACGTCAGTATATCGACGCTTTCCCTAATCGCCACATCCCTTCATTTAACTCTATGTTGTTAGTGATTGTTTATAAATATCATTGTTTTTTTATAATAATAAAAAATTGTTATAAACACAAAATGGTCCGTATCTCCAAAACCGTTAATTTGCGGTCATATATTAATAAGACTTTTCTGCTTATTTTGGGTCATACTATTCACCATTTCATTTTGTGACACTTTTTTTTAACACCCTGTATACCCTAAAAGTGGTTGATCAGAGTAAATGCAATCATAAATAATAAATCTGTCACTGGCACACTGTTGTTATTGACACACTATCGCTGCCTTTGGTATACAAATTACTTCATTACTAAAATCAAAAATTTTTAGAATTATTTGAACTTTGACCATAATTTATTTTATTATTCAAAAGTAAGTTATTTAAATATCCATTTTAATGTAAAGGTCTGGTAGACAGGTACTATTTTTCATGATATGAGGTTAAACATCCACTGCCATATTTAAAATGGAGGATTACCTCATTGTGTTCTATCTGTACCTAAAAAACGGACATTAGTTCATAAAACTAATAAAGCACAAAAAGCAGTGTAATACTGAAAATTTAAGCTTAAATCCATATTAGCAGAAGAATTAAATTATTGTTAAAAACATACCTAAATTACCTAGCTTGATACTTTGAAGACAATATAAACTAAGAAATAGTGACCGCCAGACCTACATCATAGTATGAAGGTTAGGATTTTTGTTTATATACATCAACCTTGTAACTATACAAAGTGATACAGAAAATAAATTAAATTATTAAAAATAATTTTAAAATGAATCCGCTTGATACTTTAAAAACAAAATATTTTTCTAAAATTTCATTTTGCCACTTAACAACCTTGTAACTATACAGAGTAATACTGAAAATTTTGGTTTTAACCAATATTAGCAAATGAATTAAATTGTTAAAAACATATCATATTTTAAACTAAAT